TTTTGCTGCTTCTAGTAAGTGCACTGCCAGAGAGCTGCAGCTTTGTCACAACCAAGTCTTTCTCTGAAGAGGTCAAAATGTGCCAACATGACATGTTAATTTAATACTTCATTGTGGCCAGTAATGGAGGAAACCCCCACAGAAAGTCCCAAGATTTGCAAATATTTATAACAATCCTTATGATGCCTCATATCATCAAATTATTAGAGGTAGCAAAATCATGCCAAGTCCTATGTGCAAATGTATAGGCTTCTACAGTCTTGCATTAACCTTGGCCTCCTGGAAAAGCAAGTGAAAATCTAAGTGTTTATTATTTGAGCAATTTTTGAAAGTTTTTGCGTTTAAGTTGGAGCAGGACAGTTCCTTCATTAGTTTAGTCTTTTTGCTACACAACTGGAAACCAACTGAACTTTTTCCTGGTACATGTTTTTTCTGTTTTAAAATAAGTCTTTTGGATCACATAAGATTATCCATGACACAACCTGAAAATTGAGCAAGGATTATTTCCCTATAAACTTTAAAAGTGGCCCAAATGTTACATCACAAAACCATGGGAAGTTTGAAAAAATAGAAATCATATGTACAAAAAATTACAAAAAAGAGTATAATTGAATTTTCTACAAACTATGCACCAGAAAGTGCATGCTCCTTCAGAACATTAAACAAACAGAAATCAATTCCTAGGTGAGAACCAACCCACTTTTTGTTTTCTATTATGATTTTGATTTTGCATAATTGATAGGGATGGCCTACGGATACTGAGGAGGAATAAAACAAAAGTGATGAAACTAACATGCTGGAAGTGCTTTCAAATCAGCTCAGTTAGTTCTGGAGTCAACTAAACCTGATGCAAAATCTTACTGGAAAAAAATCTGGAAGCCAATAAAATATCATATTGCTATTTTTATTTAAAAGGACCTGTTTGAGGTTGGTAAGATTCTGGAACTTTGCAAGCTGCCTAAAAAAGTTAATCCAAGATATTTGTGGCTACATAACAGATAATTATTCTATACAATGCATAGCATATAGGTTCATGTAAATGCTCCTTACAAATCACTGAGCTACTACATATATATATATATATGTTTTCTGAGGTTTTCGCGGGTGTTTGTATGTAGGTCTTTAGTTATTCGGGTTTTCTCCCGTGTAGAATTAGAAGTGTCTTGGCGACGTTTCGACGAAGTCACATTCGTCATCTTCAGGCTGGTGTCTTCAGCTTCGTGCTTCTGGGAGCACATAAGCCCAGCCGGACTCTTCGTTCTTGCCTTATGAGACCGAAAGACCCCCTCCCTACTGCTGAGAAGTCTGGGGTGATTTATAAAATCAGCTGTGAAGGCTGCCCCAGCAATTATGTAGGTGAAACATCTAAAAGAGTCAGAACAAGAGTCCAGGAACATAGACTGGCCGTCAGAAGGGGAGAACAATACTCTCAGATCCTCACTCATATGGTGGAGCATGGCCACAAATTTAGCTTTGACACAG